CATATTGGACATTAAGGGGGTACATTAGTATTGATTTCTGTACATCAGTGTTTTTAACTATAGGATAAAACAAAGCTTAGATGTATTTTCCATCTAAATTATATGTTACTGTCTTACTAATATTGTAAACGCGTAAGTTTAAATGGACAGATGTTTATTAGAGTTTGTCGCCTAAATAGCACGATGGATTTCTATGATATTTGGTATACAAGTGGAGTATAGTCTAGAAGGACACATAGGCTACTTACTTTTGTTTTTTTATTAATTCCATGCGGATAGAGTCGCGGTCGAAAGTTATTAAATTACAGATCAGTAAACTTTCAATAAACCAATTGATTTTAATAATCATCTATATTTTAAACTTTATGTATATTGTATCATTTATTTGCATAAGAATTTCCAATGAAGGGGAATAACCGTAGAACAAACGCGATGTTTTCCACCACGGTTAATTAGACTTCACTCGCTAAGTATTTGCGCGATCGATATAGAAAACTATACATGTCTTATACGTATAGAATATTTTATTGTAACATTACAACATGTAACATAATAAAAGCATATCTATATTGTGCAATAATAAAAAAGTCACAAAATCAACAATTTTTTTGTCCAATAACTAAAAAATGTATTGATTATTAATGTTAGTAAGCTTCAATTGCCGATTTGAAACAAATAAAACTTTTTAGAGTGTTAGTTACAATTTTGTACAGATTTTTAAGTATTCAAAATATTTATAACATGCTTTGACAAAATTATGAATGACTAGCTGTTCCCGTGCGACTTCATCCGCATAAAATTATGAAAATTTTATGTTATTGTTTACATGTGTCAAATTATTAATTGCAAATGTCAAAATGACATGACGATGACAACCTTGCTTTCTTGATGTTGGCAGCAACTTATGGTCTCTTTCCCACGTTAGGGTTTTTATCCAAAATATTTACCCCTAAGTTTAACAGCGTGAAAATATATAGCCTAAAGCGTGATGTAAGTGTAGGGCTTTTTATTAAAACAAGAGTTGTTCGAAAATATGCTGTAATTGCAGACATCTTAGGCAACAAATAAGTGTGTGTTTGCGCTTTATTATATTTGTATAGATATTTCTTTTAAATTTCATTCGATGTTATTTAGTTATAATAAAGCTTTTTAGATGTTTGTAAAATAATTTGGAAATTAAGAAAAACTGCCAATCTAGGATATAAAATATAGACGCTGTATATTATGGATGTGTTGAAGTAATATTTGCTAATAGAAGATATAAATACAACATCATTTATATAAAGAAACACGCCAGTAGATCACAAACATCTTTGACGCGTCTACGCCTTGTTGGGTTTTGATTGAAGTTTTCTTGGATATTGTATTTATTTTAATATGTTCTCTACACATTCAGGACTTTATATCGTGTTGTTAACGATTTGTATTTTATTACATGTAAGTATTTTTTTTATTATAAAAACAAAATGTAAATAATAGTTTATTTAAATATTTTACGCCATTTCTGTAACAATAAAACATTTTTAAACTATTAGTGATGTACGTTTAAATTGTAGCCATTACAGTCTAATGCCCTTTTTAAGTCTATAATTTTAATTGCTATATCCGTAAGGGATATTCCCCATAGGTTTAATTTTAATTAAGCGCTGTTGTGTTAAGTGGGTAAACATAACTTAGTATTCACACAGTAATTTTACGTTATAACTTTGATCTACATCCAGTAGATGATAATTATTTTATGTGATAGTTCATAGTTTTTGAAAATATCAAATATGACAAAATATATAAGAAATAAATATAAAAATCCGTTGTGACGTAAAACGGAAAAATGTTAATAATTTTCCTCGTTTCCGCTTTTCAGTTTGTAAAATCTCATTGGATAGGTGGTTGGGGGGGACCTCCGGTGGTCGTGGGCGGCTTTGGGTGGGGGGGAGGCTTTTACCGTCCCCCTCCGCCGCCGTTCTTCGGTCCCCCTCCGCCTCCCTTCTTCGGTCCCCCGCCACCCCCGCCATTTCCGTTCTACGGATGATCCTGAAATTGTTTTGAAATACGACGTTTTCTGTTTACTTTAGTTACCATCTACCTGGATGTTTAGTGAAGTGTAAACGCGACGTTCTTTTAACTATCTCCTTATTTCACTTATATAACTTTCCTAGTATATTGTGTTTCATGTATTAAATGTTTGCTAATAAATTTGTTATGCATTATATTTTTTGTTTTTATTATTGTACATCTCTCTCTTTTCCTTTAAAATAATAAAAAAAACAATACGTATCAACAATTTAATAGGTACTTACTGAACTAGTGTGTACCATCCTTCGACTATATCTTCTCTTTTGTCTAGGGATCGTGGTCAAGCGCTGGTGTATACATGATAAAAAAAAGTGTCATAGCAATAAAAACCAACTATATTCTAACTGTTACATAATGCCAAATGAATACCTGAACATAGCACCAAGTGCAAAAGTTACAGTTAATACGCAATACATCTTATTCTATTTTAAAGTATAGCTTTTTCTAGATACTCCAGCATGTATCCTTATGCACTGTCATACATTTCAATGTATGATGGATGACTTCTAATGAACGGCGTAATAGATGGCAAAGAAGGTGGCAAACTGAGTGTTTGTTTGTCGTTCTTGCGGTATAAATAAGCAAGGCGACAGCTGCCTTAGACATCTGAAATTACAAACGCGTTGCCGGCCTTATATCAACGGACGAAGGAGAAAAGGATAATTCCCTTCCTATGCATCCAGTATTCCGCCAAATCTACTTCTTCCCATTGTGTCCTAAAGAAACGAATGGGAAAATAGAGTGAACCAAAAATAACAGAATGGGTTAAGGTTACTTTTGCGTAAGATTTTGTAGGTCCATTGTGATCACAGAATATTGGAAAACTTATTTTTTGTCACCTTAAGTTACTAGGAATAGTTAAATCGACGATCACTCCAATTATATTTTTTACTGTAGTGTTTTTTCTACTAGGTATTTCATTATTATGTCATTCGGGTTTTTCAAAACACATCAGTCATTATTTCTCACATGTTTGTGAAAAACTTTGTCAATGTTAAAACAAAGTTAGAGTAACACATCACTTTTGTAGCAAAATCGATCTTGATGCTTTGACTTAAAGTTCATTTTATTGAATCATGGTAGATATTAATGCTAAACGTAAACTGGAACTAGTGATTTATATAAAGTTAGGATGATTGATAATCAGTTATTGAGTTACAAAGAATTGTATAGAGTGGTGATATACTGAAAACTTAAAAACAAAATGGCGGCGTTAAAGGTTTTCGTTTTCATAATTTCATTGTTCTTATTAATACAGGTTAGTAAATATGTTTTAACCAATTTTAATAATGTTTCTTTAGTTTACTGTTTGTAAAAATGCTATAATTCCATTAAATAACCAATCATTTAAATTTACTGGTACAATTTCGTGTAAATTTAGGGTACAGATTTCTCAAAGATTCCAACGAAAACTAGTACTCTAAAAATATAATACTTATATTTCAGTTTTAAAGCAACGTTATGTACTTTTATTGTTAATACTTTTGGTTGTATTAATGCCCTTTCACTGTTGCTATTATTGTTCTCGGTTTCTTTTTAAGATAATAACAAAATGTTTTGTACATTTTTAGTGTATGGAGTGTCACTTTTTTGGAGGCGGTTTTGGTGGCCGCGCAGTGATTGTCGGCGGCTTCGGCTACGGCTACAGAGGTGGCTACGGAGGAGGTTATGGCTACGGTTACGGAGGAGGCTACAGAGGTGGTTTCTATCGACCACCTCCTCCATTCATCTACAGACCTTACTATTACTAACGAAGATAAACGTGCTTAAGAAGTGTTTGAAATAGAAATTGTTATAAAACCTTTTTGAGGTTATCTTACAGAGGTTATTTGTTAAAATCTTTTTAGATCAATTAAATAAATTATTTTTAATAGAAAATTCGTTTTATGAGTCATTTAATTTATCAAGAAATTTGTGAAGTTAGTTTTTTTTTTAATTTAAGGTATTGGAATTGAAACAACATTTGCCCACATAGTATATTTAAACACATAATAACATATTTTAATACACAAGTTTATAATAAGAATATCGATATGTTTAACGACTTTATAAATAAATCCATATTTATTTATGATGCGATTGCACTTAGGCCTTTGTAGTGGAACCGAACTTTAGTGACGTCATGAACAAAGACCTATTTTATGGCACAAAAATATTTCCCTTTAACATCATGTAATTGTTGTCACTCGGGCGCATCAGGTGCACAGAAGTGGTGACTTGACAAATTTGAGACAACTCTATTCTCTCTTTTAAGATCTTTTTTCTGAAAATTCATCCCCTAGGCACCCAGCAGTTTAAGTCAGAAAAGAGACAGCGAAAATATATCACTATATTAAGAAGTAGCTTACATCTAAGATGATATGTTTGTTTTATTAATAATTTTAACACCGATTTATCGATTATAATCTATATAATAAATGCCTCAGCCAGTTGGATATGTATAGGTTTCAATTAAAGGCTTAAATCTAATTACATCTAGATTAAAATTTAAAAGATTAAACACATGAATACTAACAATATTAATCAGAATATATTTTAGGAATTTTAAATAACATTCATAAGTTTTTTTAAAACATCTATAATATCTATTCTAAAATCTACACACATGATAGAAATTAAAATTATTTTTATCAATTTTAATGACTTTAATCAAAGTTTACTCGAAGCCTTTAATTTTAATGATAAAATAATGAAAGGATTCATCGGTTAACCATTTTCGAAAGCGATTGTTTTTTGATTCCAATTTTAAAATTACTTTCATTAGTGAAAAAGTGATTTTAAAATCAAACCGATATCTCTTTGGTAAAAACATTACGAATTTTCAATTCGAAATTGAATAACTTCGTAAACATTTTTTAATAAAGGTAATGTCGTAATATTTTCTCCAAAAAGATTATAATTCCCTTAACTAATAAAACACATTAAATACGTAATTAATTAATAATTTTAAAATAATCATAATAATTCTTAGAGTATTAGATATATTTATTAGTCAAGGGACAACTTTAACATACTCTTTGTAACATGTGATAATACAGAATAAAAAAAAACACTCGAGACAATTTGGAGACATGTTTGTCTAAATGATTAAAACTGGAGACATGTTACGCAAAGTATGTTGGAGATACATTTTAATGGAGTCGGAATGGTCCGATGCGTTTCTCTCCAGCAGTATGTTGAACATATTCACGGATTTGATCAGTAGCCACCAATCCGATGCACACCAGAGACTCTTTGAAGTAACCGCAGCTCTGTATTTACAAATTATCATATTACATCGTATTTAAACAGCCTTATTTTTACAGTAGCTGTTGCTCGCGACTTTGTACATCTAAAATTAAATATTGTTAAATAGTCTTAAATCAGCAATAACGCAGCTTCTTAACGGTGAAAGAATTTTTGTATTCGGCTCAGTAGTTTTTGTGTTATTTCATTACATACGAAATTCCAAATTTTTTCTCTTTACAACACTAGTATAGATGACTACAAATATGAACTGTAAATGTGACAATATTTTGTAAATCTATTAATTAAAAAAAAACTTCTATTTCAAGGCGAGGATCGTATTATTCTAAAAAAGTCAACAGACACAAGGAAGCCTTTTGATTTACTAAAAGTTTTTTTATTCAGTACAAAAGTACGACAACAAGGAAGATGTTAATTAAATGAGTTCTGAAGACCTTTTGTCTTACTTTGAAGGTTTATTAAAACCAATTTAGGCGGAAAAACAATAGCATAAAAACATTTCCATTTCAATTTTATTAAGGAACACAGTAAGAGAACGATAATTAGAGAAATGATACTATATTTTTATGCGAGAGTAAAACCCACGGATATAGTATCAAAGGGTATAAACGAACTCAATAATTGCTCTTATATTTAAATTTAGTTTTAATTTAGTTCTTTTCATTTCACGAAAAGAGGAAAATGTTTCACGAAATACAATCTTGATTGAAAACATCAGTACTAACGAATAAAAGAATGGATAATTGAAAAATAACCTTATCAGTTTAGTAATAAGGTGGATTATTCTGTGTACCTTGCGAGGCTTCTGTCGGTGCCGGCGCTGCATGATGCAGCAGAGACCGCGGGAGATGTCGCACTCGCTGGACACGTTGCAATCGTCGTTGTATTGCTTGTGGCCGATAGACGGGGGCCGGCACACACGGATCTCACCTAAATACATTCTATATTCCAAATCTCACCTTTTATTACCCTTACATTTCAACCACATTACACTTTTCGTCAATCTTCATCATTTACTTCTCCTCAACTTATAGGATCTTTTAGACTATTGATTACGAGCTCTTGCCCGCGACTTCGTCCGCGTGGTATTAGAAAACATACGAACTATGTATATTACAAAAACCTACGTATCCCTCGGGAACCGGACATTTCTCTGGGATGAAGCTTATTTCATGTGTACTCCAGACTTTGTTTTATATCTGTGCCAAATTTCAATAAGATATATTGAATCGCTGCAGAATGATCGAGTGAACATTAAAAAACTAAATTAATGAATCCCACGGGAACCGTAACTATTCCCGGGATAAAAAGTATCCTATGTGTTCTTCCAGACTATGCTCTAAACCTGTGCCAAATTTCATGGAGATCCGTTCAGCCGTTTAGGCTACAAACGCTGACAAACATCCATCCATCCATCTAAACTTTCGCATTTACAATATTAGTAAGAAGTAAGATTTACCATCAGATTGAAAAACATTGGTAGAAGGTTTATGTCTAGTAGTAAGTAGACAAAGACTGATGATGATAATGGTATCTTTTACTACACCTCACTCCTTTTTCTAGCCCCCGCATATTACTGCATATTTTGTAATACCACTAAAAGTAATATCTCTGTAGGAAGATCCTAAATAAATCTTACCAGACAGCACTTCCTCACAGACCAAACCGGCGTCGCACTGGTGTTGACGGTTGCAGATTTCGCCCAGCTTACGGCCTACAAACGCAGGCAGGCAGCGACCTCCCTCCTCTGTACAAAATTTATAGGATCAAGATTGTTTAAACCAATTAGAATAAAGTCGCCATACATTTGATATGCTAAGACCTAACACGAACTTTTCCCGGAATTTATAAATAAGTGGATTCGTATTCACATAAAATAATACCAAATAATAGTTAAAATGGACACAAAACATAACTTTTACTATAAATAAATCGAAACACATCAGGAAATGTCCATTTTAGTTTGAACGAAAGTGGGTATAGTAGTTTTGTTCGCCGTAAAAATCTAGTTAAAACTGTTACACTCGCTCACTTTACGTATAGTACGTGGGACACGAAAGGACGTGAGACAAAAATAACTCACGACTTCGTAATGAAAGTACCGTGTAATGTTGTATGAATAAAATAACAGCCTTTACCTGCTCGTGAAAATGTGGTATACGTTTTCATGATTT